ATGCGGGACTCGATCCCGGGACTCCAGGATCATGACCTGAGCCGAAGGCAGTCACTTAACCAACTGAGCCACCCAGGCACCCTAAAGTGGTTGTATTTCTGCTGCCATCAAGGAACTGTTCCACTTGTAGCGGATATGAGATGTACACAAATATGTCTAATTCAGAATTAACTGTAGTAAATGACAGCATGCTCTAGGAATCCAGAGAAGGGGAAGATTCGCTAGAACAGTCTGCTTTGGATACCTGGTCTCTTGGCACTGGGGGCATTTATGCTGAGACCATTATCCTGTGTTAGGGACTCTTGAGAAGAAATTGCTGTCTGAAGTCAGGCATGCCTTGACTGGATGACCAGCAAGCCTTGAAACATGGAAGTTGGTAGACATTCCGAGTTTGAAATCTGGCCCTATAATTTACGTGCTGCCAAGTAAGTAAGTAGCCTTTTAAAGTCTCTTTGATAGGTGGGGGAAACCAACATCCCTCGTGGGACTGTGTGTACTGCTAGAAGAACGTGTCAGAGACCCGTCAGCAGGTGCACGGAGCCCTCAGTTTCTCGGGAGTGTTTCACGGTGCCTCCAGGCCAAGGAGTACCTACTGGGTCTGTTTATTAAGTAGTTAGGTTCAAGCTGCTTCCTGATTATTTAATCCAAATAACTTAGTAGCTTTTTGGAAAAATGATATATAAAAATTGAAGGAAAATTAATATAGTTGGTTTCATTCTTAAATAATCACACATACGAATGGGGTTTGTGTGCCCGTTGGGTCAGATTAACCCTGACACTCTCATTTCCTGTTCCATATTAAATTTTTCAAGGGATTTACTTAACAGCAACTGCTGAAAACCCAGTTTTGCAAAGATCTGACATCATCAAGAGGGATTTAATATGGAAACCATGAATTGTCTCAGGCTAGAAGTTCCTGCAGTGATGGACAGGTGGCAAATATTATAATGCTCCCTCAGATGTAAATAGCCCTTGATGCCCTTGTGAGCTTAGTGCTTTGTTCTGGGGTATTTGGGAATTTAGGATATAATAAGCCCTCACTTACTAACCTATAGTTACTTTCATTATTGTTACTGTGCTGTCATAGTGATTAATAATGTTAATTAAATTCTCTGATTCCAGGCTTGATAAATATGTAGTGATTTTTTTTTGTTTCTGATATACTTAATAATGTTTATGTTAAACCATAACATGTTTGAATAGCTCAATCTCTGATTAAAATCACGTCACTGAGTGTTGAATGTTTGTCATGTTTTCTGTTTTAGTACCTCACCAGCAACAAATGTGGCAAATACGTGGACATTGGAGTCTTAGCATCTGATTTACAAAGAATGTACAGGTAAAGAGATGTAATCTCTAGATTCTTGCCTTTATTTTTAGTCTCCATCCTGCCCAAATTTCCAATTGATATTAATTGCTGCTGACATTCATTCATCAGTCCATAAGTTTAGAATTCAGTTTACTGAAGACTTATCAATTACCTGTTATATGCAAGGCACTGTCCTTGTTACTAAGGGGAATGGCTGCTTCCCTTTCAGTACCTTACAGTCTGGTCAGGAGTATGGCCTCTTTTCCTGTCTCATTAAAGAATTTAAAACCATCAGGCATGATCTCTCTGAGCTTTCTGGCTACCTCGAAATGTCTCCAGGCTTCTCCCTACAGATTTAGTTTTTCTCTTGTGTCTCTAACACCACCTTTCCTGATACCTCACTCCATGAATTATCACCACTTTGTATATTTCAGAGTCTCTGTTTTTTCTTGGTATACTAGTTTGCTAGGACTGCCATAAAAAAGTACCAGAGGCGGGGGAGCTTAAACAACAAAAGTTTAAGGCTTCCCAGTTGTGGAGGCAGGAAGTCAGCGATCGATCAAGGCACTGGCAGGGTTGGGTTCTCCTGAGGTCTCTCCTTGGCTTGCGGGGTGGCTGTCTTCTCCCTATGTCCTCACGTGGTCTTTCCTCCGTGCGTCTGTATCCTAATCTCTTATTCATGTTTTTTTAAGATTTTATTTTTAAGTAATCTACACCCAATGTGGGGCTCAAATTCACAGCCCTGAAATAAGAGTCGCGTGCTCCACCAACTGAGCCATCCAGGCACCCCTCTTACTCTTACAGAAACACCAGTTGTATTGGATTACTTTGCTTCAGTGCTCTGTCCTGTGGGCCCCCTAGGATGGCCACCCTGCCCTTTGGATCCGAGGAGACAGTGCCACTCCCTGAACCTGGGCCCCCTGCGCCCAGGGTGGTGGCAGCAGCCCTCCCACCTCACTCATCCCTTTCCTTGAAGGGTCATGCCTGTCCACAGCTGATGGCCCATCCTGTAGAATCCCAGAACTCTGGCAGCATTCCTTCACTTCATCCTTCATCCTTCCTGTCTCTTCCAGTACAAGCTGCCGGTGTTTCTGATGCTGTAACCCCATCTCTAATCAAGAAAAATTTACGGGGTCCCTGGGTGGCTCAGTCGTTAAGCATCTGCCTTCCGCTCAGGTCATGATCTCAGGGTCCTAGGATCGAGCTCCGCATCAGGCTCCCTGCTCTGCAGGGAGTATGCTTCTCCTTCTCCCTCTGCCCCTCCCCCGTGCTCATGCTCTTTCTCTCTCCTCCCTTTCTCTCTCAAATAAATAAATAAAATATTTAAAAAAAACATTTACAGGGGTGCCTGGGTGGCTTAGTCGTTAAGCATCTGCCTTTGGCTCAGGTCATGATCACAGGGTCCTGGGATCGAGTCCCACATTGGGCTCCCTGCCCTGCAGGAAGCCTGCTTCTCCCTCTCCCATTCCCC